GGACGCCTCACGAGCTTCTTTTCGAGGGGCTTACAGGTGCAACTGCCTTACCCTAAACCCTAAACCCTAAACCCTGAACCCAGGACTGCCAATCCTAAGCCCTAAGCCCTATAGGCCCTCAACCCTAAACCCGAAACCCTAAAACCTAAACCCTAAACCCTAAACCCTAAACCCCATGAAAGGCTATGGTAATATCTGCAAAAAAATCTGTATGGCACCTGGGAGGCCAAAAGCATCATGAAACTTCCTTTGCAACAAGCAGAATACAAGACATGAGGTACCTCGCATAGGGGTTTAGGGCTTAGGGTTCATATAGGGTTTAGGGTTTAGGGCTTGGGGTTTAGGGTTTAGGGTTTAGGGTTTAGGGTTTAGGGTTTAGGGTTTAGGGTTTAGGGTTTAGGGTTTAGGGTTCAGGAGACCTCCACAATGAGACCCATGACTTTCAGAACCTGGCCTCGGCATCATCATAGGGTACGACGTGTCCGACCTCAAGGCTTGGTCTAGGGTTTAGGGTTTAGGGTTTAGGGTTTAGGGTTTAGGGTTTAGGGTTTAGGGTTTAGGGTTCAGGGTTCAGGGTTTAGGGTTTCTAGCCCTACTTAGATCCAAGTATACCCTAAACCCTAAGCCCTAAACCCTTGGGGTACTTACAACCCTACTCTTAAATACCCGTGAACCTTCTAGTAGACTTTTGTTCAACAGACTTCGCCCTACCAGACCCTAAACCCTGAACCCTATAAACCCTAGGCCCGAAACCCTAAACCCTAAACCCTAAACCCTACACCATAAACCCTAAACCCTAAACCTTCAAGCAACTCTTGAATGTTGCAGCCTGGATACGGACATGGCCCACCTCAGGTAAGAGGTGGACTTGATTCAAGGAACCAGGGTTTAGGGCTTCGGGTTCAGGGTCAGGGTTTAGGGTTGAGGGTTGAGGGTTTAGGGTTTCGCATTTAGGCCATTGAAACCGGAAGGGTTATGTTGGAGTAGTTTAGTCATATAGCCAGATGCGGTGCCAAACTGTGCACAGGAACGGCAATTTTCACCAAAGAAAGCCGTACTGTGTTGGACATACTTGGACCCACATGGCCCCAGCAGGTACTGGGTCGAAATACCTACTGGCACGTCGGTAATTTTGGGCGTACCCCGCCCAGTCTTATAGAATAGAATCCCCTTAAAGCGACCCCCAAAAAGGGTAACTCCCCCCCCCCTATTTTCGGGAAACCCCCATATGTGTAATTTTGGGAGTACGCCCAGTCGAATTAACATTGCTGAAGAAGATCCTCTTAAACCCAGGCGACTCTTGGGGTTTAGGGTATAGGGGTTAGGGTTAGGGTTTTAGGATTCCTCAGCCCTAAACCCTTTAACATCCAGGCCTCGTGACACCGGAAACCCTAGACCCTAAACCCTAAACCCTAAACCCAAAGGCTTCCCTAACTCCCCAAAGCAGCAAGGGCGAGATGCTGATCTGCCGCATCTGGCTTCGTCAGAAGCAGGGTTGAGCCTGCGCAAATGCATAGGGTTTGGGGCTTAGGGTTTAGGACTAGGCTTTAAGGTTTATAGGGCTTAGAGCTTGGTTTAGGGTTTAGGGGTTTAGGGCTTAGGGTTTAGGATTAGGGTTTAAGGTTCAGGGTTTAGGGTTTAGGCTCTAGGCTCGTAAGGCACATGGTCAGATGTCCACATTTTCTAGGGGTGGTATTGTCGTATCCTACACTGTCCTACACATGGGGGCGGGGGGGGGGATGCGTATCACAACAGAAACCCCAGTGGAGGCCCATCATCTACCACACGGGCACGACTCACAGTCTGCTGCGGCGAAAAGCTCAGAGCAAGGCGCACAGCCCAGTTGATAAACTTGAAAAGTGTCTCGCCTGCGCCGCACCCGTCTGGAACGCGCACCTCGCAAAAGACTGATTTGCTGAGAGAGTAAGAAGAACTCAGGGGGTTCAAGCAGCAACTCTAACCCTAAACCCTTAACCCTGAACCGGGAATGCTGTGGAGTCTGGGGACCGAGTTCCAAACCTAAAACCTTACATCAGGCTGGCAAGTCGCAGTGCTTGCGCAAGTGCTCCCTTCCACAACAATGCTGCACTAGACCCAGGAGAACCTAGGACATAAGGGGATTATAAGGGAAAAAGACAATAAGGGCCTACTCCGTGTGTTGGCACACGCTCAAGTCGGCGTTGTTCTACAAGGTGGGTCACCCTGTTAGGTACAATTGCAAAAGAACGCCTCCCACTGCCTATAAGGCCTAAACTGCAACCACCCGAAACCCTTTTCCGAGAGACTTCGCCCGCCTCGATGATGAAACCCTAAACCCTGAACCCTAAACCCTAAATCCTAAATCCTAAACGATAACTACCTCGATAATAAACCCTAAACCCTGAACCCTAAACCCTAAATCCTAACCCCTAAACGATAACTACCCTGAGTCAGATGTTCGAAGGCCTTCAGCACATCTGCGCCACCTCAGCAGGGAAAGGGGCGAACTTCAGGTTTAGAGCTTACTTTAGGGTTTCGGGTTGAAGGTTTAAGTTTGTTAAACCCTAAACCCTAAACCCTAAACCTGTTATCTAGGCATTTATATATGGTTTGGAGGTGGGCAGGCATGGAGTTGCGGTGGAAATCGGTGGAAATCCTGCCGTGCGCTTCTGAAGGTGCGGGTTCATCGCATAAAACTTTAGGGTTTAGGGTTTAGGGTTTAGCGTAGGGTAGTAAACTCATAAACCCGGACCTGCAACCCAAAAAACCCTGAACCACCGCTCCCCAGCCAAAAACCTAGTTAAACTCTCAAACCATGCCAAATTCTAAACCCGCAGACTCCTTACTGCAACCCTAAAAACCCTAAACCCAACACCCTAAACCCTAACGAACCTAAACCTATCAAGCCCTCTGACACATGCGCCGACAAGCTGGAACCAAGTTTGTTCATGAGGAGACAACGCCGCCAAATATATAAGCAGAGGTTCCCTCAACAACAACCACATGCAATCATGCAAACACACATGTATAAAGCGTGAAAAAAATAGGGCGAGAGGTTTAGGGTTTAGGGTTTATAGGGTTTAGGGTTTATAGGGTTTAGGGTTTAGGGTGCAGTCTCGGCTTGCAGCTTGGGGGGGGGGGGGATTGGGGGCCTTCCCTGGACATTTCATACTCGCATATTCCCGCACCCAAAACTTTCTGAACCCTCTAAATCCCCAGCAACCCTACAAACCCCAAGCCCGAAAAACAAAAACTCCTAAAACTGAAAAAGCGTATCTCAGAATCTTGGGCCCCTAATCTCTATATCATCCATAAACCCTAAACCCTAAACCCTAAACCCCTGCATCTTGGTCTCCCCCACCCCGGATCGGCACTGCGAGCACCGTCCCTGGCGGTGCCCCATCGGGCACGGTCACCGTGACCTGGCATCGCAACGGTTGGAGTTTAGGGTTTAGGGTTTAGGGTTGAGGGTTGAGGGCTTAGGGTTTAGGGTTTGGGGTTTAGGGTTTAGGGTTCAGGGATGGTTCAGGGTTTAGGGTTTAGGGTTTAGGACACGAGATTCAGCATGTGCCCACAACCCTGAACCTATGCTCCTAAACAGGGAGCTCCCCCAAAACCCCAACTGTAGCTCTGACAATGAAGGATCCCGCTCAAGAATGTCATGCTAGCCAGGGCCTATACCCTTTTAGCTGGTGCTTTGGATTTAGGGGTTCGGGCCGTAAACCCTAAGCCCGAAGCCCTAAACCTTGAGCCCTAAAACTTGAGCCCTAAACCCTAAACCCTAAACCCTAAGCCCCAAGCCCTAAGCCTATATTTGCAGGATGTTGTTGTAGGGTCGTGTTCAGCTATTCCTGAGCCCGATTACGACTGCACAGGAAGAGCTGGCTTTGTGGGGTCTCTGCTGCCTTCTGGCTTACAGGGTTCATGGGTTTTTTCTACTGGGCTACTACCCCCCTCTATACTACCACCCGTCGGTTCCCCCCATAACTGAGGTTATTTAGGGATACTTTAGTAGCCCTAAACCCTCAACGCTAAACCCGCGCCTGCGTTCCTTGCTTCTTCCGGTCCGCCATGGGCTTGCTACAAGGGCCATGCGGTCATCCCTTGGTGACCAAGTGAACCCTAGAAATTGGGATCAACTTGGGATCATGTACCCTAAACTACTATGACCCCTAGCCTTTCTAGGGTTCATGTAGGTCACATTGGGATCATGTACCCTATACGAGCTGTGAGTCTCTAGCCTTTCTAGGCTTCATTAAGGTCTCAAGGTCGAGCCTGGGCTTCTATTTTAGTGAAGGCCATGAGGGCTCATGGAGTAATTAGGCCGACAGCGAGGGGCGTCTCTGTTGGGTTTAAGCTGTCCGGTCAGATACATCAGAATTTGTACTGCGGGGATTTCCTGGGCAAGGGGAACGCCTACCTTGCTGACATAATATATATATATATATATATGCCTATTATGCCGTGCAGTGGCTTGCTGTGAGACAGAGCCTGAGCAAGAAGCAGCAATGCTAGCAGGAGCTAACTAAAGAGCCCCAATACCCTGAAATACAGGAATACAGTTTGTTATTTAAGGTTCCTAAAGCCCTCAACCCTAAAACCTAATTTTTGAAAGCCTAAATATTGGGCTCCCCCCCCCTTCCCTCCCCAACCCTCAAGGCGTCGCTTGTCTGTGTACAGTTAGGGTTTCGGGCTTAGGTGTTTGGGTGTTACCCTACACGCAACCCTAATCCCTAAACCCTAAACCCCAAACCCTAAACCCTAAACCCTAAACCCCAAACCCTAAACCTCCCTGAACTAAGCTGCCATCCGTGGCTCATCTTGGGGAAGGAACACAGACAAGTGGAAGCTCGCTAACACGTGAAGATTTTGTCCCCTTTGGGGTTAGGGTTTAGGGTTTAGGGTTTCGGGTTTAGGGTTCAGGGTTTAGGGGTACCCTGGACATGCAAGACCACAGCCACCGAATTGGAAGCTGAAGCTTACATCCCCCGGACCTGCATTTCTTTTCATTTTCGTGCGCATCATCGCGGATCCCTCTCGTCGTCGGGCAGGCGTAGGATTGGGGCAGGATCCTTGGTAGCCCAGAAGCCATATGACACAATACGGACACCCTTTGTTGGGTTGGTTATTACAAAGGGAACCCAGAACCCCCCCCCCCCCCCCCCACCCAAACAAGAAAAGGAAAAAGAGTACTGTTGGGCCACCAAGGATCTGCATCCCCATGGAACCCAGAACCCCCCCCCCCCAAAAAAAGGAAAACAAAATAGCAATAATAATACATCATAATAAAAACTCTGTGCTACCACCCCCCTCCCCCCACCCCCCCCCCAAAAAAAAAAAAGCCTCTGGGCTACCAAGGGTCTGCATCCCCATGGGTATAGCCTTCAGTCGACCAACGTCCGAGAGGGGGAGTGGGTGCTTCACAGTCTGGGTAGCAGTAGTACCAGCCGGTTGTGACGTCCTGGCAGCGGCTGAGGCTTTTAACGTTCCACTGAAACCCTAAACCCTAAACCCGAAACCTTAAACCTGCCCATTCTTGCTCTCCTGAGCTCAGGTCTACTACACGCTCTGTCATGTTTGTCAGCCCTGTCCCGCGAGGGCAATGTCCTCAAAGGGCAGTTACAAACAAAAAAACCTTAAATGGGGACCCCTTCCCTAAACCCTAAACCCAAAACCCTTGTATACCCCTTAAATACCCCTGTAAAACCCAAGGGCACATATTTCAGAGCCCTTGAAAGGCTAGGGGACCACATGAAGGGACCACACAACTTGCCTTAGACGTTCTGAAGCCCTCAAACCCGAAGCCAAGGTACAGGTGTGGTGTGGAGAGTGCTCTACTCAAGCTGTCCACATGCATTGTACTTCTTTCTGTTGCAGCGTATGGACACACACATCCATCCATACAAGCGTATTTACATACACGTATCTGCTTATCATGGCTTTAAGTATTACTTACTTACTTTTGCAGCTTTTAGTTCATTCTACACTGGCTTGTTAAAACAAGTTTTGACCAGGGCGAGCCTCGTGGTTGAGCTTCCAGCATCCTGCAAACAGGATCGTGGCTGTTAAGGTCGTATATAAATGAGAGGGCTGGGCATCTTCGACTTATCTCTATGCATTTCCAGGATCCTGAACCCTAAACCCTAAACCCTAAACCCTAAACCCTAAACCCTAAACCCTCAACCCTGCCTAGGAAGTAGATGATGGCAGCAGCGCCCTCCAGCTTGAACTTCGGCTTGTCAAAGAAAGTCCCATTCTGCCGATAGAGCCCATTGAGTGGGGCTGCCACGCCACCAGCTCCCTCCACCACTACCGCATCAACCCGGCCAACAACCATCAGGTCGTACCTCCGGTGTGAAGTGGCTTAGGGGCTTAGGGATACGCTTGAGGGCGTTTGGGACACCATACTCATGTTTCGGGTTCATCAGAGGCTTAGGGTAGTTTAGGGGTGAACGGGGCCGGCACCAACTGCCCCAAACCCCAAAACCCAAAACCCAAAACCCTAAACCCTAACTGTGAGGGAGAAGCCACAGTGGAAGCTGCTCTGCCTTGAGCGGCCGAGGTGCTTGCCGTCTGCCCCCACCCGGTAGTGTCCTGTGTACGAATGATCCCATTCCTGCGCTGCTTCGTAGACAGCAGGGCTGTAGGTTTAGGGTTTAGGGTTGGGGGTGTGTGTTTCCATTGTGGCAAATTACTGCAAGCGCCCCCGCCCCAACAGCCCTAAAGCCTATACTTGAAGGTTCGAAAGAGTACTTCGAAGTAGATTCTACGTACGTACAGTAAGTAGGGCTATGTCCATGGTCCTCATTTTTCACCCGACTCATCAGTGAACCTCCAAGTCCCTGCACCACAAAAAAATCCTAACCCCAAACCCTTCAAGGGTTTAGGGTTTAGGGTTTAGGGTTTAGGGTTTAGGGTTTAGGGTTTATGAGGTCTCTCTCAAATCCTCTAAACCCGCACGCCAGCCCTTCGCTAGCACAATGCAGGAAAGCAGCAACCGACACGGTCAGAATGACCCTGTACCCTGAACCCTAAACCCTAAACCCTAAACCCTAAACCCTAAACCCTAAACCCTAAACCGCAACCCAGCTTCCACAGCCACCCAGCCGGGGCTGCGGTCGCGCTCCGAGTCGCTCACTGCAGTCATTCCAAGGCCCCCGCCGTCCTTACTTGGAGAGGTTTAGGGTTCAGGGTTTAGGGTTTAGGGTCTAGGGTTTAGGGTTAGGGTTGAAGGTTCTGGGGTTTAGGGTTTTTAGGGTGTTTCTGCAGCCCCCATCTCCAACGAGCAGGGTTTAGGGGATAGGTCTTTTAGGGTCTACAGGGTGGGGCCCCCTAGTTATAAGTAGAGTTATAAGGGCCCTAAATTGGGTTATAAGGACCCTAAGTTAGGTTATAAGTCCCTTAACTACAGTTAGTATAGTAAGGGGGCCCCACCCTGTAGGGGTTTTTTTCAGTGTTGAGGGCTTTTGGGGTCAAGGAGATGGGCCGCTCTGCAAGTTGAGGGTTGATCGCGGGGAAGGGGGTTTAGGGTTTAGGGTTTAGGGTTTAGGGTTTAGGGTTAGGGTTTAGGGTTTAGGGGGGGGCGGGGGTGAGGACGAGGGCTGGGGAAGGTCTTTCAACACGGCCCCGCGCGCGTGCGCGTTGGCAGAGGGCGCGCGTGTACACGAAAAGGGGCCTTCTCGGTGCGAACTGCGCTTGCTTTTGCTGCGGTGTTGTTCTGATGTTCTTTCTCCCCCTCCCGTTCCCTCCGCAGTGTGGAAGCCAAGTCGATGTCGAGGTGGTTCCATTTTCGATCCCTTGGAAAGCATGGTTTGCTCTGTTGTGCATTTGAGAACGCATTGCTTGTTTTTCTTTCTTGTGTCCGACCTCGACAACATTGTATGCCCCTTATATACCCTATACAACCCAAGGACCCAGACTTCAGAACCCTTAGCCATGCCCGAACGCTTAAAGCTTGGAGTTCAAGGTTTTGGGCAGTGTTTTGGAGCAAAGCAGGCATCATCACACCCCCTATAGAAGCCTCACCCGATGCTAGCCAAAGCTGTTGGTGTCATGATGTTGGTTGCTGGTTGCTTGGCTTTTTTCAGCTTTGTTGCTTGAAGCCAACTTTCTTGGACTCGCTTTCGGGCTTCGCAGACAAAGACCAACATATTGTTGAAAGCGCACAAAGAAAAGCTGCAAATTCCGACGCACAAGGCCCTTTCCATGCGAAAACCCTGGGTGTACACCTTCAAGGGTGTCGAGGGATCCGAAAGTCGTCTTCTTGATATCTTCTGCAGGTCATTGTCTTATTGCTTTTCTTGTTATTGTCCTTACCTGTTCATTATTGGGCTTTTTGGTTGTAATCTATATTGTTTGCTTGTTCTTGTCGTTGTTGTCAGTCGTTGTTGTCGTCGCTATCGTCACCGTCGCGGTTTGTTGTTGGTGGTGCTGGTGGCACTGGTGCTGGTGCTGGTGGTGGCTGCGGCGGCGGTGTTTTTTTTGTTTTTTCTGTTATTGCTGGTGTTCGTGGTATCCTTGCCCTGGTTTGGATTTTCCTTGTCCTTCTTAAGCCTTGTTGCTGACCACCAGGCCATCACCTCATCACCTCTTCCTTCGCCCCTCCCCCCCGAGACCCAAAACCCTTAAACCCTGAACCCTCATCCCTTTTGCTTCACCCTAAACCCTAAACCTACAGTCCTGGTCTTCGGGTGTGGCCGGCTGTGGGCGAGCGCCCCGTTGGGTTATAAGAAGCCTCATTCCGAACGGGACATCCTGCTGAGGGTTTTAGATTTTAGGGCTTTCAAAAAATCAAACCATTCTTCCTTACAATAAGGCGATATCGGTATTCTGATTGCATATCTTTCGGGGGATCTGAAGCAAATAGTAGGATTATATAACCCACCGCCTACGACCACCCACGCGGAGCACTCAGATAAGCCAACAGGATGCTCTAGGGCAGCCCTAGAGACAACAGCCTTGCGAACACAAGGCATCGGAGATATCTGCAAACTAGACTGCGTCTTAAACCTAAACCCTAGCCCTAAACCCTAAACCCTAAACCCTAAACCCTACACCCTAAACCCTAAACCCTGCAGACAGGAGTCCTGGTTCTGCCATTTCCAGTCCGGTCCGCGGCGAACCCGCAAGTCAAGCGTGGCGGCCTTCAAGATGCGGTTGGGCTCGTCCTGAAGGGCTCTGGGTATTATAGGTACCCTAAGTAAGGTATTGGGTGGTTTAGGGTTTAGGGTTTAGGGTTTGGGGTTTAGGGTTTAAGGATGTTTAGGGTTTCAGGGTGTCTTACTTGAAGGTTCATCGGTACTTAGAAGTAGGGTTACAAGTACCCGAAGTAAGGTTAGGACCATAGTTACCCCACTTATAGCCCTAAACCCTAAACCCTAAACCTATAAGTACCCATGAACCTCCAAGTAGGGTTTGGGGCTTACAGCTGGGCATCGCCTCAAGTCTGCGAACGAAGAGCATATATTTTTGCAAACTTGATGGCAGGGTTTAGGGTTTAGGGTTTAGGGTTTAGGGCAAAACTTGATAGCAGCCTGACCAGGAGTTTCTGTGATGATCTTTCAACCATGATGTCCTCCTGAAGCAAGCTTCTCATTGCCTAGGATGGCCCTTGAAACCCTCAGAACAACTTAACATTACTCCGGACTACGATCCTCCTAACCCAATAAATGAAGATATGTAAAATGCCCCAATTACAAGATTCCTGTCTACGATCCTCTTAAATTAAACCCAACAAAAGAAAACATGTAACATGTCCCAAGGGCCTACCTAGTTGCAGTGGCCACCGCCATTAACGCATCCACCGAGCCCGCTTGGATTTGCTTCAGTTCCTCTTCGCTGCAGGACTGTGCGAGCTCTCGGGCACAACCTTGGGGACGACACGAATTCTAAGATGACCCTAGAAGGGTCTACGGTTCATATACCCTGATAGGACCAAAAGTGACCCGAAAAGGGTTTATGGTTCAAAAACCTTCATAGGGAGTATAGTAGCCATACCCTTCATAGGGATTATAGTAGCCATTTTTGTGTAGACGACCCCCAGTCTCGGTATTCACTTGGTCCCCCAAGCAGCGGGAGAACTGGCGCTTCAGCCCCATCCTTTCCGCATGAAGGAGCCCTTGGTTGCTGAGTTCATAAGCCCCCCCCAAAAAAAGCGTAAACTTTCAGTTTTATAGGGGTTATAGTATCCCTAAACCCTAAACCCTAAACCCTGCTAAGAGTCGGTCCACGGTGGCCGGCAGGCTGAGAAGCCGCGTTTCGCAGGCATCCCTCAGGAAGCCAACTTGGTAGTAGAGGCCTTAGTTGTCCAGTAACCCTAAACCCTAAACCCTAAACCCTAAACTTAGAATTCCCTTCGGGACTATAAGGGAATGTCAATACCCCCAAAAAGGTTAAATGTTACCTACTCTACAACTAAGAGGCTGATGGTGAGCAGCGCGTCCACATTCTCTTGGGTGACCTTGTCTGTACCTTACCAGGATGGGCCATTATACCCAAAAAATCCTTTAAAAGGCCCTTTATAGGGTTCATTATGGGGATGATAAGGCCGAATGGCCCATCCTGGTAGTTGCTGAGTTCATAAGAGCCAAAAAAATGTACACTCTCAGTTCTGTAGGGGGACTATTGTATCCCCCAAACGTATAAAGTGTGCTCACTCAGCTGCTAAGGTACTAAAGGCACCGGGCTTGAGCAGATTGTAGAAGACGTCGAACTCCTCCCGCGTCGCCACCTCCACCTGGATGGTTTTCTGTTGCGCCTCCCGCATGCCCGATGACAGCATGCTGTTGAACACCGGTGAGCACATACGCAGGGGCACGGAGCAAGCTGGCATGAAATCTCCCGAAGCGAACTCCAACACGACGTCGTCCCAACTGTCTTCGTCATTCTGGGTGCTGTCCTCGTCGTGCTTGCGCTTGCTCATGGCGCGGACTCACCCCGGCCGATGGATTCAGGAGGTATCAGCACATGCTCCCTGCTGTCATATCTTGCCTCAACATGTTATAGGAAATCTATGCGAAACGACATAACCAACCCTAAACACTTCTTTGCAATGGCTTTGTCACTGGGACTTCTCGTGACCCGAAACTCTAAAGCTCAGTGAAGAACTTCGAATTTGCTGAGCTCCACCGATTCTCATCAAGGGCGTAGGGGCTCTGTCAGCCCTGGCTTCCAAAGGTTTTTAGGTTTACGGTTTTGCGCCGTGGTGATAGACGCTGCAGGGAATGCGCCTTAAATGAAATTTACATTTCTGCTATATCGAACATCCCCACCCGATCCTCTCTGGGTCGAGATACTCTGGGGTTGCGCACTCCAGGCACACTACGTTGGGCACTCTAGGAACACCCGGCGGGTGAGCACTCCAGGCACACTTTGGCACTCTGGAGTTGGACACTCCAGCGACACTTTGGGGTTGGGCACTCCAGGGACACTCTGGGGTCGGGCACCCTGGAGTTGGGCGAGGAGTAGACCGGGCGAGGAGAAGTAGACCGGGCGAGGAGAAGAGTTGAGTTTATGATCGAATAACCCCACACCGAGGGTGGGGGAAAAAAAACCTCAGGCGCCAAGCCTAACCCCCCCCCCCGCTTTGTGCCTCTTTACGAAAAGCACCCCCAGCGTCGGGGATACGATAAGGTTGGTCTTCGTTTCTTTAGCATCCCCATGAGGACACTCAGGGGTAGGGTTTAGGGTAGAATTTCGGGTTGAGGGTTTAGGGTCCCAATATATACACACAGCAAGAGTTTCAAGGAAGTGTATACACACGCACCCACACCATCATACAAACCCCAACCTCACACCCCAACCAAAATTAACCCGAAACACACAAAGCAGAATTGGCCATGTGTAGGTTCAATGCTGTGCCATGAGGTGCTGAGCTGTACCACACCGTGGTTGGATTCCCTGCGCACTACATGGGTTTAGGGTTTTAGGTCAGGTAAGCTGGTCAACCTAGCACTCAGCAACAGGCCTATCACTTCGGGCTTACGCCGCGCAGCGTGCAAAAAAAGTGTACGTGCGTGTGTGCCTCGCGCGCCCTGTGCATGCGCCCCCTTTCCGCCGCCCAAGGTCGGGATCTGCACGAGGGAGACAGTTGGGCGACTAAGAACGTCTCCATGTCCCTCACACTTTGGCGGGGATGTCGGCGCTGCGACACATGAGCGTGAAGCAGGGCGTTTGGAAGGAGGTCACCTTAGGTGCCCCAAAACTCCCCCGGAAACAGGCAGGGTGGGGTGGAAGGTAGGCAGGGAATTAGAGGTCTGTGTCCAAATGGCCCAAAACCCTATAAACCCTAGTCACACCCGAAAAGAAATCTTAACGCAAAACCAGTTCTGGGTCCAAGTACCTACTGTATCGGTCTGAGCCCGTTTTGTTGACTTGACTGGCAAAGTTCGCTAAGGCATCAACCCGGTAAATACCTGGGAGCATCCCTACACTACATCCGATCATGCCCCCAGGCAAGAAAGTATGAACCGTCGTAAGCCCCCTTAGCCCCCTTACGGCCCCAAACCGCCCGCTAAACCCTGTAAACCCAAACCCTCTCTAACCCCTAAACCCAAAACCCAAACCCTGCTCATCAGCACCCCGAGAACCTTCGAAAAGCCAAATCCTAAACCCTAAACCCTACGTACTTGTCAGTACCCACGAACCTTTAAGAGGCCTAAACCCTAAACCCTAAACCCTAAACCCTAAACCCCTGAACCCTAAACCCTAAACCCTAAACCCAAAACCCTAAACCCTAAACCTCAGCACCCTGCACCAACCTTCAAAAAACGTGCGGCAGCCCAGGAGCCGGCTCGGAAGAGAAGGCCGCGGAAGTGGCTCGGCCCTGGGCCTCTCCTCGGGCGTCTGAGGGTTTAGGGTTTAGGGTTTAGGGTTTAGGGTTTAGGGTTTAGGGTTTAGGGTTTGGGGCTTAGGGTTTAGGGTTTAGGGTTTAGGGTTTAGGGCTTAGGGTTTAGGGTTTAGGGTTTAGGGTTTAGGGGCCTGTAGAGTGCGCTTTTTAAGGAGTTTTTAAGGGATTGTGATGATCAACAGCGATCATTCAAGCCGAGCACTCGGTTTCCCACACGCGCGAAGAGTAACGGGCCTGCGTCCCACATCAGTGGCCTGTGACCTGTGTTCTGACACAGAACACAGCCCATTCTTTGCCGAACTGTGCAAACTGCGCGGAGCGTCACGGCAAATTCTGTAGCCGTGTCACCAGGGACAAATAAAAAAAGTCTTCGTATAATAGTGGAGATATGTAAACCGCCAAACGAGAAACATATACGATTTTAATCGCTTATTATAAGGAGACTATCACAATAACAATTCAATACTGATAAATATATATATATATATATATCGTATCACTCAGAATAGTATTACTAGTCATAACAATAAGAAGAATAGCAGTAGCAAGAGTGATAAAAGTCAGAAATGGCTTCTGTGCACTGCGCCTTCAATGTTCCAGCGCCTACTGTAATCTGTGGCAAAGCGGTGTCGGCAACACCGCACAACAAAAAGTTTGCTGCGCTCGTCAGGGCCTGACCTGAAGGTTCTTTCGTATCTATAAGTGGGGTTCAGGGTTTACATAGGGTTTAAGGCTTTCAGGGTCTAGGGGTACTTATCAGTGGGTGATATGTAGGGCAATGGTTGCATCCTTACTCAAGGTACTTAATGAGTACCCATGAACCTCCCAATTGAAGGCAGCAAGAGCAGGCTGAAAAAAGTCTTCGGCGCCTGTAGCGCCGTGCTTCAAGTGGCGACAAAATAACCTTGCCGCCTGTGATCTTCGGCCATAATAGCCGTCCACCTGTACTCTGCACCTCCAGGCGCGTCCTCCTGCCTCAACTGGGTTGCAAGGCTTCCGTAGACACTGCCATCTGCTTCCATCCCCAGCTCGCGATACATCAGGCCGATGACCACTACATCGTTCTCATCATCCACCAGCCACTCCAACTCGGAGTTGCTGCGGAAGTTAGGATCCATTCGAAGATCGCTCGGCCAACGGCTGCCCAAAGTTTGGCGCTGCACTCTGAAAGATGAAGGACGGACCTTGCACTGAAGCACCACTTGAAACCATCTGTTTCGATTGATCTCTGCCTGGTTCAAGGGTGCATAGACTGGATGGGCTGCGTAGTAGATGGAGGGAGTGACGTAGACGGTGCCAGAGCCAGCAGCACATGCGCTTGTGTTGCACCGCCGACGCCAGGACGGCGTAGATTCGTCAGCAACACCTTGGCGGCATTCTCCGAGGTGGTTCCATGGTAGGCTATCGGCCACGTTCTGCACCTTTCATAGTCATCAACGTGCAGCCGGCGCTTGACCCAGCCGTGTGGCTTCCAATAGGTGTGACCATGCCGTTGACCATAGTGTTTCTTCTCATCCACACGGAAGCAGCGCCAAGGACCCGTAAGCCTGCCACCCATGCATTGCGAAGCCAATGCAAAGGCTTGGACATCAGAATCCGAAGGGACATGGGCTTGTGTGCTCGCTGTCACGGGCGGCGATGGCACCTGATCGCTGGAGGAAGCGCTGGAGCCCGACGAGCGTGCACTGATACTTCGCAGCTGCAGAAAGCCTTTGAAGCGGTCTGCCAGACTTGGGCTTGAGTCGTTGGCACCTGTGCTCGGAGTGACCTGCACATGCTCCATCGCCCGCTGGAGTGCTTCCATGTCCCTCTGCTCCAAGGCAGCCTGCACCGCCATTGCGGTTGCATCACTTGCAGGCGATGTGGCCGCACCCTGCGCAGCGAAGGCCTGAAGCGCAGAGACGATCTCGGTAAGAGACAGCGACTCAGGCCATTGCGTTGCCTCAGCCCTCCTAGACATGACCACCTGCAAGGCACGCTTGAACATGCTTTGCTCATCTGCGCCAGCCGGCTGGCGGTCTGGACGCAAGACTTCCCCTTCTTGACCCGTGGTGGTGAAGGGACGGCGGTGCTCTGGAACAATGTACAGCCATGGGCGTAAGAGCAGCAGGACCTGATAACCTTCGTACTGCATGGCTGCTTCAAGTCCAGCTTCGCTAGGCCGAAAAGCAACGCTGCTGTCTAACAACGAAGCCACCAGAGCATAACGCATCACAATGTCAGGCTTGTGTATGGCTCCATGACACCAGTGGCCGGTTCGCACACACTTCGGGCACAATGCGGGCTTGTGAGGCTTCTGCAAACTCTTGTCTGCAAGTTGACAATAGATCGCATCACTCATGCGGCCACATTCCTGGCACCCCTGTCTTGGAGGTCCTGCATCCTCTCGTGGACGCATGCCCGAGCGGCAAACTCGTGTTGCCACTCGCTGCAAGCGGACAGAAGCATCATTGTTCTCATCCAATACCTCACGCTGCGTGGCGAGATCCACATCCACTTGTTCACACTGCTCGGGGTTCCTGAAGACATGCACGCATCCCTTCCTGCGAAGGTGCTCTTCGGTGGTGCGGAGCTCTCTGCCAGGCAGCGGGTGGGTCAAGCAAGTACATGTCGGTTGCAGTCGTGAGTCGAAAACACCCCATGCTAGTCCTGACTTCCAACTCCGCCCGCAAGGGGTGCACCTGAACTCTGCAAACAGCTTGTACTCATCGACATCCTGAATGTAATGAGCTTCGCGGTCCTCCGTATGAAGCGCTTCCACCAGCGCTGCTCTGTCCAAGCCCCCTTGGCGAGAAAGGTATCGGCACAGGTCAGCAGCTGCCGCAAAAACAGTCCTGGACCCCGTAAACCTCCACACGCTCGGATCGGTGACCCCGGTGCCCATCAAGTTCTCAACCCCGCGCTCGATGCGATCACGATCTGCTTGCGCAGCTCCTTCTGTCATCACCACAGCCTTCACCCGCACCTGGGAGGGCTGGGTTCCTTAGTTGCCCAATACCCTGGCCCAAAAAAGTTTAAACTTTTCTTTTACTAAAGGTTAGTATACCCAAAAAGTTTAAAGTTCACCTACTGGG